TTAACTAACAAAAAATACCATTAACAGTGTTTTTCAGGTACAGAGAATGGCTAACTGCTCAGTATAATAAAGATAATAATTGGTGTCCAATGAACTGTTTTTTTTTTATTTCCAGTTTTCTCCTATACTGTCTTACCTGATAGCAGACAAAGGGAAAGGGTCCTGTCCTGCAGACTCTCCAGCATCTCACTCCCAGCTCCCTTTGCAATTTCATCATGTGTCACTTTCCTGCTCATGTTTCAGAGTGCAGACAAATGGAACTACATTTAATGAAGAACATGCAATGCACTTTTGATGTCTTCATGTTCTGCTTTTACCTTTACTTCCTGTTCAGCAAGATTCATCTTCTCTTTCCCAACCTTTTCCCCTCTTAACTTTCACTCATCCATCCATACTCAACTTTGCCATCACTTTTAAAATATCTTCGCTAACACCCATGCAGAAGCATATCCCTTTCTCTGTGCTCCTTTGAATATATGTACCCTTTCTTATACAAAATGTTTCATGTTTATCTATAATATGTTTGTTTACTATTATGCTATGAACTTTGGCAAAGACTGAGCCTCTTACATTTCCAGTAACTAGTGCAATAACCAGCATGTAATAAGCATTATGTGTAAAAAAAAGTCTATAAATAATTGCATGAATGATTCTGCTGTATCCTAGCAAGAGCTCTGTCACTTAAAAAGTAATTAATATCCACATTTTACAGATAAAGAGACTGAGGCCTGGCAATTTTGAGGCCATAATTCTATGAAGTCCTGCATTGGGACTGGAAACCACCACTTCCCATGATTTAATGTTCTCTCAGTTTGCCTGGTATCATTTTTCTGCAGTAACTTGCTTTTGTGAATCATGAATATCACAACTTAATATATCCCAAATTTATATTCCTGAGGGTTTCAGGGATATAAAAGTTAATAACAGGGTGAAGGGTCAATTCACTAATCTTAGAAACTATGGAGAGCCAGATATATTGAATAAAAAATAACTTTATTAGAAGGAGTTAATTAATTCTAAGAAGAAATACAATATTTATGTCATGGTAGAAAGCTAATTTATATGGAGTTCCCCACAGAGAGAATAAAATAAAATGTTGGTCACTTTTTGAAATTTATGAAGTAGTAGTTCTTTACTCCTTTATATCTCCAGGGAACAGTTTTCAAGTAAATTTTCTAAAAGAGATTTTCTTCCTTGCTTCTCACATTAATATCCCCATGCATATTTTATTAGTAAAAGAAAATCAGTTGTAAACAAACCCTAGAGAAAATGAAAAGGACTGTGCTACTTGAAATGAGTGAATAAAAACATGTAGATAATGACTTCCTAGTAAAACAGATTTCACTTTATTCTTTTCTCCTTGACGGTGTCTACAAAAATATCCATCTTGTTAAAGCATCAAAATAGTCTCTGTCATGATTTATATATGTGTGATGTATGTATATATTGGCTTTAGATTAACTGTAGGTATGTGATTGACCATGCATAATTTAACTACTTTAAAGCACTATGAGAAATAACGTATAAATTAAAATATATAAAAGTTAAAATAATAAAGTGAAATAAAAATTAAAAGGAATATGTCCACTTGGGAAAAAGTTTATTAACTAAGAGTAAGTAGCTTAATTTGCAAATAGAGATCCTTAACTTTCATACTAATAGGAATCTTTAGCATAGTAGTTAATCATTTTCAGAAAACTGTATGCAAATATGTCTTTAAAGACATGTTTTTGGTAGAAAACATTCGTTACATTTATTAGATAATCAAATGGAGTCTATGACTTAATATGTTTAAGAACTATCGATATGTTATCTCATTCCAATTTATTTGAAACTATCTAGTGCTCAATAAATACATGTTCAGAGGATATAAGTTAGCATTTTAACAAAAGGAAAAACATGCATAATTAATAAATGCATGAAACATATCCTACTTCATTATTAATTAAAGCAATTTATATTAAAGCAAACATCAAGTATCTTCTTACATCTAACAAAGCAGTAATTGCTTAAAAAACAAAACCAACGGGACTCCTAACAGCACTGAAATTATAATGCAGAAACACTTAAATTTACTTTTCTCCTACCAGTTAGTATGGGGAAGTAACAAGACAATATTTAGCAAAACCCACCGAAGATTAGAATAGAATAGTGGTTGCCAGAGGCTGGGGAATGAAGGAAGGATGGAAAGAATGTGGAAAGGTTGATCAATGGGTACTAAGTTATAGTAAGATAAAAACAAGAATTTCTGGTGTGCTATTGCACAGGGTGATCATTGATAGCAATAATGTACTATACACTTACAAAAGCAAGAAATAGGATTTTAAAGGTTGTCAATATAAAGAAATGATAAATATCTGAGGAGATAGATATGTTTACTCTGATTTTGACATTATAAGATATATATATTTATTCAAACTTCACATGGTGTCTCTTTAAATAAGAATGATTTTTATGTTTTTATGTATTAGTTAAAATAAATTTAATAAATGTCTAAGATTTTTTCTATTTAGTTACATATGACAAAAACACTAAATACCCATTAGTAAATGTAAAAGCATTATTATTTAACATTTTTTTAAAAAAATATTTGTTTAGTTGTAATTGGACACAATGCCTTTATTTTATTTATTTTTATATGGTGGTGAGGATTGAACCCAATGCCTCGTGTGTGCTAGACAAGTGCTCTACCTCTGAGCCACAATCCCAGCCTCTATTATTTAAGGTATTAACAACCAAATCATCCAGCATCCTGAGGAATTCAATTCTTCAAGTGAATAATAATTATTAAAATTTATAAAATGTTTAATATTTATGATATATAAAATGTATTCATATAATAAATTCATATAGACATACAATTTGTGCATTATGAATTTCTGGATGCTATTCACATAGATTACAACAATCATGGGACTCCCGTGTTGATCTAAATAGAGGATTCAAATTCATGGTTAGTTTGAATTTGTTAATATGTTTACCTTTTGTTACTTGGGGATTATTTTATAGCATTCTATATCTTATAATATTCCACTATATGCAATTATAATGTTAATGAGAGATAGCTGATAAATGTGGAAATCAAAGACTTTGATTCACATAATCTACATCAAGTTTATTTCTGTTACCACTTAGGTTAATTTGTTCTGACTTCACATATCTCTAATGAATAAAATAGTAAATTACATATGAATTGCTTGAGATGATATTTTGAAACATCTTAATGAACAATAAGGTACTAGTAATTATTATACATTTTATAATAATGATAAAATTAAGTATAATAACATTTTTCATGTTAGAGAAAATGTTACCATATAAGATAAAATATATGCTTCATTGAAGTCATATTTTTCTTGTATTAAATGCACTAGAGGTAAGAGATGACATCTAGTGAAGATGTTTATATGTTGAACCTCATATTTAATGTTATTTCACACTAGACATATAGCATTGTTTATAAAATGTAAATGTTTCCATACTGCCTTCCAGGCCTTTGTGCATTTAATTAACAAGAATAAAAATAGTATTTATTTTTCACTTTTAAGTGTTTCAGTTTTAATTAATAGTATGTATTTTATATTGAACTTATGACAATAAAAAGATCCAAAAGGGCAATCATTAGGTCCAAAAACTATTACTATCTATTTTTATTATTCATACTTGTCTACAAAGGAAAGACTTTCATATTATATACATGATTTGTCCTACACTATATCAATAATGCTAATATTAACTACATACATAGTAGGTTGTAGGAATAACACAAATTAATAAGAAGAATCTATTTTGTGAAACTAAATAAAATTTTCTGCATTTAAAATATATCACCCACTAACATTTCACATATTGCTTAAAAAAATCTATGAATGAATTATATTATGATTTAAAGATAAACATATTATTAGCATTCATACATTTATTATGGGAAATATATTCTTACTATGTCATCTGTTTTTAAGAAAAGTAATGGAGATTTACTACTGAAAAATAATTTGAGAGCAAATAAGATTATTTTTTCAGGGCATTTCAGTTATGGTTCTTTTGATGCAAGTAAAAAAATATAAAATTCCAAAATCTTAAATATCTCACAAATGTACTCATTTAGTAAATATTAACTAATATGATCACATTTAGAGTAATTCAAAGATAGGCTTTGACTTTGAAAAAGCATTTCAATAAATCAAGATGGATGATTTTTCTGTCCATTTTACTCAGTACTAATTTCCAGCTTAGGTAAAGGAGATAATTTTTAGAAGCATGAATTCTGTAAAGCTGCTTCTTAATAATTTTTTACCCTAATCCTTTGGCATAATTCCTTGGAGATTTTTCTTTTGAGTATTTATATGTAAGCCATGGAGAGTATCATTTGCATTTTTATTTGAAATTTCCTGACTTTTAGATGAAAAGAGGTACTAGAAATCTTGGACTTCAAGGATCTCCCCTCCCTTAAAGCATTTACATATTTATCAAACATATTTTCTGAGCTCTTAATTTGAGCAGACAATGTGCTAGGTTCTGGGGTGCAAAGATAACTAAGCCATGCTTCTGATCATTAGAAATCCTCTCCTATAAGGAGATCAAGCCCATGTTAGAGTATGTAGGTGTTGCAAAAGAGGGAGTAATTATTTCTACATGGATGGGAGATATTATAGGGAAAAGATCAGGTATGGTTTTACTGAAGAAATGACAGCTAGTAGTTTCTTTTAATTATACTAGAGTAAGCTAAACATTATAGCAAAATAAATACCTTTCCACTTATTTCCACTATTTTTCTACAATGTCTTTGTATGATATTTGAATGACTATTGTCCTAACCATATCAATTATTTTTCAAATATAATTTTAGATTGGATGCCTAATACAAAAATCACTTATGTTTAATATAATTTATTAATGAACTTAATACTAACTATAAAATAATATTAGTAGATAATAATTGATACTTATTCTGGTTGTAAAATAAGAACTATATTTAAACTCTGTCTTTACTATTTTACATTGTAGATGAAAGAGAAGATGTTCAAAAGAAAACATTCACAAAATGGATAAATGCACAATTTTCTAAGGTAAGCATATTTGTTAATTCTCTTTTAAGATACAAGTGGTGGAATTTTCAAAATGGATTATATACCTGTGAATTTTAAATCTTCATATTTTCCTCATAGTGTTGTTTTTGGTTTAGCTGTGTAAAACTGCAAATATTACATTGAATCTTAATTAATAAATAGGATTATATATGGCAAAGAGATTAATTAATTTTATAAAAATGCAACTTTGGTTCTTGTCATTAATGTGTGTTTCTTTAATGACATGAGAGTCATCAGAGGTTTATAATAGCAATCTTCCTTCAAGTGGCTATTATATGTCATAAATTATAAAAAGATACATGGAACTTTTATCATTATGAAAATTACCATGTTTTGTCCTTCTGTATCTTTACCAAGTTCAAGCAAAATTAATACAACTATGTTGTGTCCATTTGGTCACTATAACTTATATTTTCAATAATTTAAAATGAAAAATCATCCTCCTTTTCTCCAGATATTAATTTATACTCTTAATATTTATGTTGCAACCAAACTCACAATCAATAGCACAAATACAGATAATTATATGTGGACACAGAGTAAAATATTCTTATCTTGAAAAATAGCATTTGGAATGCAATATATAAAGGTTTGTTTGAATTTCAAGGTTAGAAAAACTTGGATTTATATTTAATCACACTAGATTTGAGCAAGTAAATCAAATGTTTTGTGAGTCAGTTTTCTTATTTTTCCATCATATCTGTATGTATGTATTATTGAGTGTCTACTCAATAAATCCAATATAGACAATGGGAATATACTGCTAATAATGTTTTATTCCTACATCCAAGACTTTAAAATGACAATATGCAAAATTGATATTTTGCATATTGTTGTAAGGATTTTACAATTCATTTGAGGTGAAAATTTCTAGCACAATGCCAGGCACTCTTAATATATATGAATTACTCTCTTTGTAGGTATTTAAAGTCTTCAACTTTTTCTGAACTAAGTGAGATACACATAATAAACAAAGAATAAAATGGAAAAAATACAGCAGAGTAATAAATGAAAAATGGACTTAAATATTTGGGATAGGAATTCATGATCTTCAGACTATCACCAAGATGGATATATGTAGTTATTTAGTGAATCTACTGGCTTCATTAAAATTTTCTTAATTTTTGGATTTTGAAAGACAATATAAACTTTCAAACATTATACAGAAACCAGAATTATAAAAACATTTTCTGAAATAATAAGTATCACAATACTCTAAAACTTTTAATTAAACCAATGAGTCATTTTTACAAGGTATATAAACATGATAAGGACAAATACTCTGTATTCTAACTTTCATAAATCTAAATATATCTTCACTCTCTATACATTGATAGCCTCAAGTATCATTTATCATCACTCACTTGCTCATATACAAACCAAATCTTGATATTTTATATTCTATGAATACATTTTGGTACTACCCTAGAGCAATTAGATATATTATTTTCTGCCTTTATGAGTGTCCATATTTTAAAAGTTGTGGAATAATCACATATATGAGTTCATTAAATGCCTTTTCCCAATATTTTCATCCTCTAGTTTATCTTCCACTTATTTTATTTATTTTATAAGTATTTTCCTTAAACCTGTTATAATTAGATCACAAGACTCATCATTCTTTCAAATATAGAATTTCTAGTCTCAGGCATATCCTCCAAATCAGAAATACATGTAAATGTTTATAGAGATAGAAAAGAAAATTTATTTAGAGGTAATATATATATATAAACTTTTAATTTTGAGGGCTTTAAAAGTATCTTTTTTATATGACCTTGTTTTTCTGTCCAAATTTCACATAGGTGACCATATTACTTTTAGAAACTTATGAAGAAAAGAGGAATTAAAGGAAAACAGTTTATTCTGTTTAAACCAGTTGGTGATCTAAAAATTAAACCTAATTGTGAAATAAATAATTTGATTCTTTACTGTGTAACTGCGTAGCTTTCGGCAGAATTCTGAGCATGTAGGATAGGCATAATTAGTTGAAGTTGAATCTTCCAATCTCATGGTCTGTACATTGTCATTTGGGAGATGCTGACCAGTTGCTAAATGGAGTAGAACTTAGTAGGCTGTGTGTGGGTGGTCTGAGCCAGCAGTACTCTGGGCTAAAAGGAATCTGGAAACCTTTATGAAGAAAGGTCTAAACTGTGAACTCATGAGAGGAAGCAATATATACTTTATTTTATTTTTATTGGTTCTTTTTATTTATATATAGCATTAGAATTCATTTTGACATACTTACAAAAGCATGGAATGTCATGGGCTCTAATTCATTCCCCAGTACTTCCCCTTTCTTTCACCTCCCCATCCTCTTATTTCCTTCCATCTATTCTACAGATCTTTCTGTCATTTACTTACATATTTTTTAAAAAAACTTAGTGTCTTGTGGATGTACATGATGGTGAGATTCACTGTGGTATATTTATATAGGAATATATAGGAAAGTTAGGTTACCCCAATATTTATTAAACCAGGGCACACAATGAATGTAATAAATATACTTGGTCAATAGTAAAGATAATTAACTCGATGATAAGTTAAAACAAGGACAAATTCTGAATGGAAACAATGTATTAAAGAATCTTTAAAAGAGAGGAAAAAGCAACAAACAATTATATGTCAGTATGGCAAATTACATGCACATATTATAGTACAAATGAATATGAGTTCAAAGGTTTATCAGTGGAGTGTACACACATTTATATAATATTTGTAAATTATAGAGATATAGCAAAGGAACTCCTTGTTATTTTGCAAAGCCACAGAAAGGGTGTTATAAAGAAATAAATTTGATTAAATATATCCTTATCATTTTAGTGTGATTGGAAGCCAAATGTGTCTACCATAAATCCAGCTGACGTTTTACATTTTCATTTTAAAATAGACTCTATTTTTTTTCAAAATAAGTCTTCTATTAACCTCTGATTCCAAAAATTTCTACTAGAATGTGATTTATCATATCCTTTCTATAAAGATAAGCAAACAATATTTATGTCCACATAAACACAAAGCCATTTCTAGATAAGATTAATTCAGGGTAAATAGTCTTTCCATGTAATTTGTAGATATGTGATAATCCTCAATAAATGTTTAATATTTACTTATAATAAATAAAATGTATATTATAAAAATCTTACTCATTCTCCAAGGCTTGTTAAGACAGTTTTGGAAATCATTACCAAAAATAATTTTGTCATAAAACTTGCTTGATGCTATGTGAGAATAAAAGTGTTTATTGTAGGTCAATTGAAATATTCAGATAAACCATCTCCCAATGAGTTGTGTTGTGATTTTGATCCTACACTGGTTTTAGTGATCATCACTACTTCCATAACTCCACTTTTCTGTCTGATTGTTCACAACTCAGTATGAAGCTTTATATTTTATTTAAATGAAGTAAGAATGTGCAATTACTTTTATCAATGGCTTCACAATGTCCTAGGATATGATAGGAAATTTGCTATAACATATAGGCATACATCAGAAAGCTAGAACTCACCATCTTTCAGTTTATCAGCTTCTTTACACCACCCTGTACTTCAGGGGAAAACATAACCACACTTTAATTCATTTTGGAAAAAAAAAAAAAAAAGTTAAACATAAAATTCAAATTTTTTGAATCTTATTTTCCTTGTATATCCATGCTAACTTGTAATAAAAATATATTAAAAGGGCATTATAAATAGTAAAACATAACCAAAAATATTGCCATTTTTGTCATTGTGGAAGATACGTACGTTCTGAATTGAAAGAATCTTACATTAATGCAATTTATCTACTGAAACTCTTCCTCTTATTCACTTCTGTTGTTTTCCATGATGTCATCTGGTCTTCTTGAGAACATAACAGTTAAGTAGTAATTACCGTATCCCTAACTCCATGATTTTGTGGTGCTGTTGAAACAAGCATGGATTTTAATTCTATGTCATAGTTTTAATGACTCATTTGGTACTTTAAATTTGATAACTCTCTTCCTACAACAACCAATACCCCCAGCAATTTGACTGTTGAAAAGTCAATCTCCATAACATTTTGTATTCTTCTCCTCCATGCTTATAATTCCCTATGGCTAAATAGTATACAAAATAGTGTAAAAGAGTATCTCAGTTATCAGTCTATTCTGGTTATTGCTAGTATGCTTAAGGGCCAAGTGGACATGTCTGTGTAAATTGCATCCAGTCTACATGCTATGCCTTATTTGTGAACAAAGCTGGTGGGGGAGGGGGGGCGGTTGCCAGTGTTGGAAAACTCTATCCTTGGTATCTGACCTCTACAGTCATTTAACAAGGATGTCTTAACACAATATCTAAAAGCTCTATGTGAGAATAGGGTGTTGAATTCAATATCATTTCATTCCCTATCTTTGAAGCTCATTAAATCTTTCTGAAGTCTGGCTAAACTTTCTCCCATATCCTTTTCATTTAGAACCTTGTATGAATCCTTATGCAGATTGAGCATATCTAATCCCAAAATCTAAAATTTGAAGTATTTTGAAATCTTAAACTTTTTGAGTACCTAAATGATACTTAAAATATTTTAAAGCATTTTAGATATTATATTTTGGAATTAGAAATGCCCAACTGGTAAATTATATGCAAATATTTCAAATGTGAGAATCTCTGAAGTTTGAAACATTTCTGGTTCCAAACATTTTCCATAAGGGAGACTCAACCTGTATCAACCAAGATTCTCAGAACAAAAATTTTGAATGGGTGGTTTTCCTCTGGATGCCTGCTCATTTCATTCTTGAATGTGGTTTCAGCTACCTTCTTGGTTTGAAGCAGGAAGAATAGGACATTTATTTATGTTTTATTACCCCACTACATTTTCTATGCCAGTTCATGCCCTCAACACACACACATATACACACACAGAAAGAGTAAGTATGTTATACATTTAAAATGAGTTACAAATTTCCATTTTATAAAAGGAAAAGGCTGAGAGAGACATAATGGCAAAATATTATTTTAGTGAAA